AAAAATAAATGAAAGGGAAGAGAAAAAATAAGAGAAAGGCAAAGGGGGAGAAGGTGTTGGCTATACTAGAAATAGCCCTGACATGGGAGATACGGCTTTGCAAGGAAGGTGAGATGGGACAAATTTCTGGGTGAGAATGATGATATCCTGAAGTATTTTTCTGCTTTTATATAACATGTGTTCTATAATTCTTTAGTTTAAAAACTTGCCTTAAGTGTTCTAAATTAGAAACTAAAAAGCAGTTGCTTCAAGCAGGGATTGGAGAAGGGAGAGATTTCTGGTTTGGGGGTCATAAATCAATGAGCCAAAGACAGCCTATGTTCACCTATGACAACACTCTTGATTTCTGTTCTTCAGTTTCTTGGCTGATTCAGTCATGATGCTAATAAAATTCTAACTTTCAGGTTGATAATGTCAGCTTAAAATTGAGAGCAGAAGGAAAGATATTGGACTGTAAGCTTCTTAAAGGGCAGGACCACTTTCTATTCATTTCTATATACCCCAGTCCCCTCAGTGCTCAACACATAATTCATCAACACATAATATAATTTAAGGAAGGGCTTTAACTTTTCAATGTAGTAGCAAAACGTGTGGGCTTCAGAGTCAAACTTCTCAGATTCAAATCATTTTTCCTCCCTGGGTGCATGACCAGAGGAAGCAAGCCTGCCTAACATCCTTGAGTCTTCTCATCTGGAAAAAAGAGTGGTGACAGTACTCACTTCACAGAGTTGCTGTGGGGATTAAATGCATTTCTGTATCTAAAACACAGAACACTGCACCTGCCCCATAGTTAGCATTTGACAGACCTTAGCAGCTATTATTTTTCCATCATCATTGAGCTAATTGTCTTGTATCTTGCCCCCAAATTAGTCTCTCAGGGAATTTGGTAAACATAAAAGTTGGTTGGTATAAAGGGCTAAATTGTGAACCCCAAAAGATATGTCTACTCACAACCTGAGAATGTGACCTCATTTGGAATAAGAATCTTTGCAGATGTAATTAAGGCAAGGATCCCCAGATGAAATCATCCTGAATTAGGATAAGCCCTAAGTCTATGTCTTTACATGAGATGAGAGAAGAAGACCCAAAGACATGGGAAAGGCAGTCACATGAAGATGAAGCCAGAGGTTGGAACCATGCTGCCACGAGCCAGGGAAAAGCTGGAAACACCAGGAGCTGGCAGAGGCAAAGACAGATTCTTCCCTAGAGCCTTCAAAGGGAGTGTGGCCCTGCTGACCCGCTGGTTTGGGGCTTTTGGCCTCCAGAACTGTGAGAGAATAAATGTCTGTTGCTTTAATCCACCAAGTTTGTGGTCATTTACTGTAGTCGCCCTAAGAAGCAAATACACTTGGGTCCAGGTGACTTTGAAACAACCTAGATTTAGTGAAGGAAACAAGCCGAAATGCAAATTGGTGATTATCATGAGCTCTCCTTTTTTTGAATTGTGTACTGCAGGGAAATTCTCTTTGGGAAGGGAAAATCACCAGCTTCAGGGACTGGAATGTTCGGGCCAGCCTGTGCTATCCACTTCCAGCCAAAGACATTTCTGCTGAGAATCCTGAAAACATTCTGCATTTTCCCACAAGGAATAAAGTGGAAGTATTCAATGTGTGACGAGACACTGGACAGAGTCAGCTCCTACCAGGCCCCAAATAAATGGGCAGATGATGCAGCTCTCCCCCGTGACTGAGCAGTGAACACAACCACACTGATGCCCACAGCCTTCCTCACTCCCCTCTATGGAAGTTGAGGGGGTCATTAGCCAAAGACTCAAAGCTAAGGAAAGATACCTGCTTGTCAAGAGACCAACATAATTGTATATTTCCACTAACTCTGCTGATTCCTGAATTATACCTATGAAACGGATCTCTTTTTAAATGAAAAATATATCCAGGTCATCTTCAAGATCTTTTTAAGCCTCTGGAATTTTAAAGAAGTCCTCAGTAAAGAGTCATGAGAGAGAGCGGAATCCACTGATGCTGAGAGAAATGATTTTCATTCATTTGCTCTCTTGTAACTCCTGGGGAAAAATAGCAGCAGACAGAGCAGTGACAGTCAGAGAGGGGTGACTTTTTTGGAGCAAAGGCATTAGACGAGATGACACATGCTGACAGGTTCAGCAAATAGTGGATGCCCTGCCAATCAGCAGATAATTTCTATGTGTTGCAAAGTGGGAAAGATTGTGAGTCACGCAGTATTTCAAAGACAGGTCACAATGACCTTGTGTGAGATCTTCTAATGTGAAGGTCACGCAAAAGGAGAAAGTGGATAAAGGAAGAAAAGGGAAAAGCAAGGAGACCCATGTACAGGCGAATCAACCACATCAAGGCAAGTTGCTTCCTATTTCCTGACAGTACCCAGGGAACCTTCCTAATTACCTGTTTTATTGACATCTGAGGCTCACAGGTAACCAGCACTTCATTAACTCATAAATCTTTTTCCAGCTTGTGAAAGTCACTTCTTCCCTGACTCAGTCAAGGTTTTATTTTCTTCCCTTACTTGGTAATGTCCTCAATTTATTTCCAGTAAAGAAAGGGTTGCAGGGAAAAGGTCAGTGAGGAAAGCCAGAGGAAGAAGCCACACACTGTATTCTAGATCCCAGCATACCCTGAAATGGATTTCATTGTTTCACTGACAAGACATTCCAAAACACTGAAAATAGTCACATTCAAATAGGAAAAAAAATTAATTCTGAAACCCAATGTATTCAAAGGATTTTTGTCATTATTTTTCATTTGCTTTTCTCCACTGAGGTGGGGGATGGAGAGAGAGAGACAGGCAGGCAGGCAGGCAGGCACTGACTGAGATCGATTCCAATGAAACACACAGGTAAATAATTTGAGTGCCTTTTAAAAATACATAAATGCTTAATTTCTATACTTTTCATCAAAGAGCTTTTCTGGGGAAAGGATACATTTTTAGCACTAAAAATTAGTAGCACTCACACGTGACACACACAGTTGGTCAATTCGTAACCCTTCAAAGAGAACTGTGCAATTCTAATTGACAGGGTAATTTTAAAGTAAAGAACTTGGTGAATATAAACCCAACATATTTTTCCTGGTTTGGGGAAGAAGAAAGCTGTACAATGTATGTAAATATGCTAAGATTTAAAATACTAAAATAAAACCTCTTATCATTCCTATCCAAGAACATCAAGTCAGTCACTAAGGTTGTGACAATGGCAAGTGTTGAACGCACATGAGCACACATAATCACACTGAGAATCTGCTGACTGATTATTGCTGACATTGCCTAGTTCGATCTGATTCATCATTTGCACAGGAACCAAGAGACATTAAAAGGGCAGGAGGTTACACTAGGAGGAGAGAAGCAAAGCCTTAAACTAAGTTGGGATAAGGATCCTTTTCTAACAATTGCCCAATTCTTGGGATCCACTCTGTCCCGAGGCAGGCAGTGGAGACTTAGTTACTCGTATCCCACATCTGGAGATCTAGAGGCTTCTCCCAAGATGGAAGAGATGAGTAGTGAGAGAATAAAGAGATTATTAGAGATCAGAAGCTTGGCTGGGCACAGAAGCAAGCTAAGTGGAGTCACTGGAGTGGAAGGGTCTATTTAAACACATACACACACACACTCTCTTTCTCTCTCTCTCTCTCTCTCAGCTGCCTCACATTTATCACCTTAAGAAATTTTTGAACACCTGGTCTATATACAAATGCATAACAAGAAAGGAAAAAATATAGATGATCTCTTATCAAAACTACATAGTATTTTGCTAATAAGAAGCTATACCTTAATCCTGATATTCAGGAAATTTTGTTGCCACATTAAATAAATGGTGAGGGGTAAACCATTTGTAAAACATCAAAGCACACACACAAATCATTCCAGACACCATTTCCCATTTTCTGACTTATTACTGTACACAATGCAGCTTTTAGCTCCTGCATTCTTCTGTCCTTTTCAATGCTCACCAGACTATTAATCTAAAAAGCCAGGTGCTTCGTCTGCTCCTCTAATCACTGTGACCTGTTTTCGTGATTCGAAAAAGCCAAAAAGACTAACTCTGGCTTGGGTGGGAATCATTTTTGGAATAGTGGTTGGTGGTTGTTCACATCTGGATTAGGTATAAAATGATAACATTATGATGATGAACACCAGAGAGCCTCATCTGCATATAAATAGACCTAATCAGAAATGCAAATTGCAATCAGGAGAAATTTTTAAAGGCTGTGATAGCTGTGTGATTGTGCAGATAAGGAAAGGTCAACACTTGTATTGTTAAGGCAGTTAAATGGCTCCCAGCCTGCCCAGAGCCTTCTTTTGAAAGAGACATTTGGAAGGTACAAATTATCTCTCAATCTGCACCCTGGTTGGGAAGGCATCCCTGGATAGCTTCATTTTCTGTAACTAGAGCCGTGAGCTGGCCACACATCAGCCCGATTCCAATGAAACACAACCCAACCTCTTGTACAAACCCCTAATGAACACACAGAATAGAAAGTATACTTGCATTTAAATGCTCTCCAAACAGACCTCTTTCTGCACAATTTTCCATTGAGACAGAAATTAAGGGATGGAGAGTAAGATCTATAGTGCTGATGTAACATTTTCTGATACATTTCAATACTGGTCTGAGTGAATACAGCAATATGATACAAATATGTTTACACTGAATACTAGAGAAAGTATGTAATTAAAAAGAAAACACTAGCATTTAGACAGACTACTTAATCCACAATTCCATTCGTAGTCTTATCGTGCAAAGTGCAAAAAATGAATATCTCAGAAAAAGCTGAGTGCTAAAAATATGCAATTGTTCCAACATGGTCTTACTATTCCTTGGGGTATGTTATCTTTCAGGAACATCCTCTTCTCGATCCCCCTCCACCCCCCTTGTTTTTTCAAAGAAAATATATTTCACAATCAGGCTTTGTCAGGTTTGGAGGGAAATTGCTTACAAACTCTTTATTATCCCTCTAACTAGACACTTTCACAAAGAACTAATGGGTCAAGAGCGCCATCTTGTGTCTTACCTTGGAATCTTAAAGAGTGTTTTCACAGGATGCATGTCAAAGAGGGGAGGGTCTCCATCCCCCAGTTCAATAGCTGTGATCCCCAAGGACCAGACGTCACAGCGAGCGTCATAGGAAGAGTCATACTGCTGCTCACAGGCAATGACCTATTAGACAAAAGCAGGACACAACACATCACCCCGACTGCCACATCAGATGTCCTAAAAAGGCCCTGGGCTGATCTTAGCCCCCTTCACAGTTTCCTTGGCCACAATGTTATTGAATTCCAGTAACGAGATGTGTGTATTCTAGGCCTTATTTGTGCGTAACTAATTTATTATCTTATTCGTTCATTAACTTTTAAAAATGTGTCAGTTTTGTTTTTAAAAAGCATGTATCGAACTGTCCAAGTACCAAGAATAGCGCAAGGGGAGGAAGCCGATGTATACCACACCATCCCAACCCTGCTCTTCTTTAAGGAAAGGCTTTGTCTACATCCTTCACCTTATTACCAGCTACTGAATTCAATAACAAGAAACAATTGTTCTCAAAGATGCTTGTGTACTTTGAGATGCATGAAATCCCCAAGAGTATGACCAGCTAAGCAGAGAGATGTTGGAAGACTCACATGGTTAATATAAAGTAAAAATGACCCCACTCCACCCTCCCCTTTTTCTAAGAGCATCTTTCCCCTCCTCAAACTCCAACAATGGTGTACATCGCAGAAACAGCTGCCGTTCCAGTTACTTGGCCTGACTAGGTACAAGAGCAGCAGAAACAGAAAATGACCCCGGGCTTGTCATTGGGTTGAGGAGTATGCAACCCTGTGGAGGAATGTTTTTATCAACTTATTGAGTCAGTCAAGAACATCTCCTACACTCAGACTCTGATGACTATCACAATGGCGATAGGAGAAGTCGGGAGTGAGCCAGAGGACGTGGAGGATCAGGAACCCCTATTTGACTTAAAATCTGCCACCAGGATGACCGATGGCCATGGCCAGGTGGGAAACTTCGATTTCTGATGATCCAAAACACCAGTGAGGGGGCAACACCTGTAACGGTGAGCACAGGAAGACCAAAGTAATAGAGCCACCCTCTTAGGCCATCATAATGTCTTTGGCTTTTTTATTCCAAATGAGATGGGACAACCGACTGTGGTGAGCAGAGGAGTGACAGATCTAGCTTCTGTTTTAACAAGATCACTCTGGCTACTGTGCAGAAGATAGATTATGAGAAGAAGAAACAAAACCAGTTCAATATGTTACTGCAGGGATCCAGACGAGAGACTGTGAGATGGTGAGAATAATCAGATTCTAGATATAATTCTGAATGTAGAGCTAACTGGATTTGCTGCACAGGGCTTAGAAGAAAGGAGAGCTAAGGAAAACTCCAAAGTTTTTGACATGAGCAACCACCAGAATAGAACTGGTATTTACTAAGATGAGGAAGACAGTAGGAAGAGCAGGTTTGGGGTGAAGAGTGGAGCTCCATTTAGGATATACTAAGTCTGAGATGCCTGGGACACTTCCAAATGGAGAAGAGTATTTTAGCCTGGTGAGACTCATACTGGACTTCTGATCTAGAGAATCATAAGATAACTGCTATGGTCTGAACATGTCTCCCAAAATGCATATGTTAGAAATGTAATCCCCAATGCAACCAATGGAAGGTGGATCCTTTTGGGAGGTGGTTAGGTCATGAGAATTCTGCCCTAGTGAATGGATTAATACTACCATGAAAAGGGCTTGCAGGACTGGGTTTGCTCCCTTCTGCCTTCTGCCATGTGAGGACGCAGTATGAAGGCCCACACCAGATGCCAACACTTTGACTTTAGGCTTCCCAGCCTCTAGAACTGTGACAAAATAAATTTCTGTTCTTTATAAATTACCCAGTCTCAGATAATCTGTTACAGCAGCATGAAATAGATTAAGACTAAGAAACAGGTGTTTGTTTTAAGGCACTAAGTTTGTGGTATTGTTATGGCAGTGATAGAAAACTAGTATTCCTGCTCTCTTCCAGGCAGTGCATTGGACTTGTAAGGCCTGGTGAAATATGCCAACTGCCTTGCTCTGGACCCTGTGCTCTCGTTCTCATAATTGCCCTGTCCTCTTCTCTTCTGAGCTGGAGAACATTTTCTATAAATCCACATCCTTGGCCTGGCCCCAGTCCCATCTTCTAAATAGAATATCCTGTCATACTTTTAACATGTTATTTTCAAATGTACATTCAAACTGAAGTTCAAATAATTCCAATTTCAGAATCAAAGGCCATTTCATTGCCCCCAAAGACCTCCCTTTTCTCACCCCAATCAGGTGAGAACCTACATTATTTTTAAAGATCCCTAGAGAAGGCTATTCAACACCTTTCCTTTCAGAAATGACACTTTCAAAAGTGCAAGACAAACATAATTTTAGACCTATCAATCAACAAATAGTTCACTGTTATTCATGACACTGTGAGAGGACCTGTGAGGGAGAGAGAAATAAGACTCTGTCCTTCCCCAGTAGGAGCTGTGGCCAATTGAAATATAAAGTGAACCTATCATAATTAAATGACAAACCATGACAACTATAAATGCCCTAAGACAATGTGTAGTACATGTCCAGTAAAGGATATGGGCTCTAAGTGCTTAAGATTTTAGGAGACCACTGCTGGCTAAGCAAGACAACACAAAGTATCCAGTACCCATAGTCTACAACTTCTGTGGGGAAATTCAAATCAGCTTCTAGCCAACTTGGATGGGACACAAAACGCAATTCTAAGAACATATCTCAATGTGAAAATAGAGATATTCTAACATTTCTCAAGTGTTGTCATAAAATATTCAAAACTTGTATCTGGTTTCAGCTTCTCTTTCCAGACAAACATTATCTTCATCTCATTCTGATTAACAGAAAAGCATATCTTGGCCTAATTCTTCTCTTCAGTGCATCATGTAACAAAGAAATTTAAGTTCAGCCTTCCAAGGAAGTTTATTGAAAATTATGCTAATAAAATAATTCACAAACAATTATTGAGTACCCATTAGTCTGGCAGGATAGTACACCCTGGAAAGAGAAAGTCAAATACACACTGAACTTAATCTTCAAAATAATTTGGTAAAGTAGGTGCAATGATCACTTATGCAGGTGTGGAAACTGAGGATGGCATGATTAAACAGCTCACCTGGCATCACATAGCTAGTAATTGTCAGGGCCAGAATTTGAACCCAGGCAGGGAGAAGGATAACTAAACAAATCATTGCCATATAAGTGCTATATATAATAAAAGTTACAGTTGGTTAAAATTGTCAAAATTATCAGCTTCTGCACTAATATTTTGACTACACTAGCCAGGTGTTCTGAGGTTCTGTCATTTCAACTCCATCTTCTTCAGGGGTCTCTTTCAGGATTGCTCCTCACCAGGAGGAAACAGCCCTTTCTGCAGGTTATACATATGATGAGAGTTAAAGAAGCACTCTTAACAGGACGCAGGGCAACTGAAGGTCAACACCCTGGAATGGGATTCCCTATCAATCCAATACCAAAGTCTGAAGCTATTTCTTTAAGAGAAAACAGTACTATCATTCTCTTTAGCTCAACATTCTCCTTGCCTCTAGGTGAAATAAAGCTGAGTTAAGGATGCTTGGATGGTCGAATGGTCTTTCTTCTCTTGCCCCCAGGAGAAGGTGACCTCAAAAAGAACTCTCTGAATCGGTTGCTGGGATGCTCCATTAAGAAAGGAGAGTGGGATGGCAAGTAAGTGCACTGCTTTGGGACCAGGTTTTCCAGGTTCTGTAAGTCACATTAAAGGAGTGGAGAGAAATGAGATGGTGTTGGGCAAAGGATCCCAAATGCACACCCTTTCACATCTGAAAACAAATCATATCCTCAGGACCTCTCTCAATCTACAGAGAACCTCTACCATCCTTTCTAGCTGTAATATTCCACGACTTTGTGATTTCCAAGTAAGTGATCTTTGGGTAGTATCTCAAACTGGGAGGCTAACATTGCCATACAAATTAGCTAGAGTGAACAGTACATTATTCTGAGGTGTGAACAGGATGGCTGGAACTTTGAGGGGATTTTATTGCCAATGTTTTGTGAAGGTCTTAAGGTCTATGACAACATGCTGGTTGCTGTAATAATGCCTCTGTTAAGGAAGATGAGCTTTGCGACCAAGCAATTGTTTGGATGCTGGTTAATGGAGTATGTCCAGGTTCCCACCTTGAAATGCAAACTCACGGCTTTTCTGGTACAGTTAGATTACACTGCTGCTTATTTTAGAAAGAAGAAAACACTAATGCTGGATTACTAGCAATATCTACGCACTGGCAGCTTTAATGCCCAAGGCCAATAGCTATTTTACCTAGCAGTGGGCTTGAGGCTCCCAAATGTTGGTCATTGCCACCTTAGCTGCCAAAACCTTTTCTTTCTGGAGACTGAGAACAAGAAACAAGTTTTCACTAACGGCTTAGCTTGACAGGTCTTTGGAGCAAAGGCTAGTCATTATCCATCTTCAATTGCTTGAGGCAATTCTCTTTAGCCTTCTTTAGGCTAAGGAGTTCCACAGATCCAGACTCCTTAAATCTACCCCCAGTCACTCCCTCCTACCCCACAGAGGGAACACCTCCCCTCTCCTACGGGAATCTATGCGATGAAACCACATCCACAACTGCTTTGACACATATCATCCCTTTGTCTGTCCTTGAGCAAGGTCAGCTGTGTTCTATTGAAGATGGCTGTTCCTTTCCTTAGCCACCAGCCAGAGAATGGCAGAGAAAAACAACTGTCAGGAGCCCTTGGGTCACAAAAAGACTTTCACCTCTGGCTAGTGCTAGAAAATCCCAGAGCCTGGCATCTTTGTTTTGGTTTTGCCACCAAAACCAAAGTCACTGGGTGACTTTGACAAAATATTTTATCTCCCTGTACCTCTTCTTTGCAAGCAAACCAAGCAACCCCTTTTTCATGGGCCTCATCTGAAGCACTGCTTATGAAAATGCTGGTTATTCAGCTTTTACTGTGGCACTAAAATGTTAATAGTAGATATCATTGGATCACTGACACACGGGTAATAATTATTTTATTTACTTACTTCTTTAAGACCTTTTGTGTTTTCTAAAATGTCTATAGAGAGCATGGATTATTTCTACAATAAAAAGAAGCAAATTTTGTGGTTTTTTGTCT